ATTTGTTGATCAACAGGATTAATGCAAAATAATACAAGGACCTAGCCACAGTAAACAGATCATCCTATATGCAACTACATACAAAAACCTGTCTGTATGAATCTTTATAGCAGCTCTATTAGTTATTGCAAAACACTGAAGAGAACCCAAATGTCCTCCAATTGGTGAATGGCTGAAAAGACTTTGGTATACCCATGCCATGGACTACTACTCAGAATAAAAAGGAATGAACTACTGATACATGTCACATTCTGAACCTCAAAGGTTTTATGCTTAGTAAAAATTCAATCTCATAAGTTTACATGTTATCTGATTCCATTTATCTAACATTCTCAAAATGACAAAACTACAGAGATAAAGAACAGGAGGAGGGTAGAGAGGTGGATGACACTACAAAGGGGTAGCATGAGAGAGAATGAGAATCTAGACCTGGAACAAAACTACACCCACACACACATGAATGCAAGTTAACAATGGTAAAAAAGGTAATAACATCTATAGTCTAGTTAATAGTAATGTATCAATGTCAATTTCCTGGTTTCGATATTGTATTATAGCTATACTAGAGGCCTGGTGCATGAATTCATGCATGGGTGAGGTCCAGCCGGCCTACCCCAATTGAGGCCGATGGGGCCAGGCCAGCCAAGGGGAGGGGACGCAGAAGGTTGGCCAGTAGGCCCTGCCCAGATGGGGTGGGAGGGGCTGGCCGGGGGAAGGGCTGGTCAAGGGGAGGGGCCGCAGGCAGTTGGATGGCCGGCCCCGCCCCTTGGTCAAACTCCCAGTCGAGGGGACAATTTTCATAGTAGCCTTTTATTGTATATCACCTTTGGGGGAGGCTTATACAGGTGAAGGTGAAGGATAGAAAGGATTCTTTGTACTATTTTTGTAATTTCCTATAATTATTTCAACATAAAAATTTAAACAAACAAATAATGGCTGTTGGTACAAGAACCTGTATTTGAACTTGTGCTACTGCCCTGTGTACCCTACTGCCTACAAAATGTTTCATTGAAATATATCAAATATGCATTATTTCCTTCTCTACAGAGAAGAATATAATATATAAAAGGCTCATCTGGATCAATTTTAAAGAAATCTAAGGAAATTCAAAACATTTTATTAGGAAAAAATTAAGACACTGAATCATTTCATTCATGGCAACTGAGCCCAGGCGTTCCAATGTACTAATACAGACACGGAAAGAGAACATTGGGAGTCTGATGGAAAGTAATGACCGCGCTGCTTTGGCACCTTGACTGCAGGCACTGCCTCTCTTTCCTTCTCACTAGAGGCAGCCCGAACGTCTCCTGCCATGCTATCTTGTTCACCAGGAAGGTTAACAGCTGTTCCTCTCCCTACACACTAGGTAGACAAACTGCACAGCAGAAAGCTATAAATAGTCATTACACTGTACATTTGGCATCTCTTTTCCATCTACTCTGATGAGGTTTCCTTGTGAGATACAGAACATGGCCAAATTATAATCATCACAGCCAGAGAGATGAGCTAAAACGTGCCAAATGGTTTTTGGGACAGAGTGAAAGTTGCTTCCTGGCTTCATATTGATTCATTAAAACCTTGTACACATGTCATGGTAACTACAAAAAATTATACATGCTGTATAGGCAATGACAAAGAATCGAAATAGCGATGAAATGTTTTCATGTTAGTGATGTTTTCCTATTTCACGCCATTTTATTTTATTTCAATAAAAAATACCAGTTAAAAGTATTTGTTATTATTTATAAATCAAATAAATCATTTTTTAAAAATAAGAGCCAATCTGGTTCATTGTATCAAGTCCCCAGTGCTGAATGTGCTATTGGTCAGAGGTGCTACAAATTCAATTGCTTGTAGCTCATTTCAACAAATATATAATATCAAGTGTTTACTAAGAACATAAGGGCAGGATATTACTGTAGGAGGTAACATAAAAATTGAAAGACACCAGTCTGTAGCCTCAAGAGGGAGATAAACAGGTATATATTTAATAAAACCCAAGAATTACTGCTATTATTAAGTGTGCTAACGTGGCAATTCAATATTATGCAATAATAAGAGACAACTCACGAAAGTGGTCTTCAGGTATTTAAGAAGAAAATACATGTCATCAGTTATGCTCCACAGGAAAAAAATTAGAATCAATGGCTAAAAATTACAAGAATATATAGAAAGTTGGTTGCACACACACACACACATACACGCATACACACACACACTTTTAAAGATCTTGAGACTATCATACTAAGCGAAATAAGTCAGACAGAAAATGGTTATGGACAGAGACTTAATTTGGGGTGGTAAACATACAATACAGTGTACAGATGATGTAGAATTGTGCAACTGAAACTGTATAATTTTGTTAACTAGTGTCACCCCCAATAAATTCAATAAAAAGGAAAACAAAGAAATAAGTCAGACAGAAAAAGTCAAGAACCATATGATTTTACTCTTATGTGGGATATGAAACTGAAAGCAACAAATGAACAAACAAGAAAAACAAACAAAAACGCTTAGACACAGACAACAGCATGGTGGTTACAAGAGGGAAGGGGATGAATGTTAAAGGGTAAAGGGAATCAAATATATGGTAACAGAAAAAGATTTTGGGTGTTAAACACAATATGCAGATGATGTACCATAGAAATGTATACTTGATGCCTATATAATATTTTTTTAATCCTCACTCAAGGATATGTTTATTAATTTTTAGAGAGAGAGGAAAGGGGAGAGAAAGAGAAAGAGAGAGAGAGAGAAACATCAATTGGTTGCCTCTAATACGCAGCCCCATGGGGATCAAACGCACAACCTAGGTGTGTGCCCTGACCAGGAATCACACCCACAACCTTTTTGGTGTAAAGAATGATGCTCCAACCAACTGAGCCATCCAGCTGAGGGGAAACCTATATAATCTTACTAACCAATGTCACCACAATAAGTTTTTGAAAAATAAAAATAAACATAAATATTTTTAAATTAAAGCCCACATTTACAGAATTAATTAGCATAATAAATCACTGACAACTTAATAACTACAGTGATATCTGATTAAACCTCTGTACTGAAGAAGAGTTTATGAGACCTTGCAAGGGCCTGTCTCCTCCAGAGGCCCCCCAGATCAGAGAAAGGCATCTTGGTACCCAGACAACGAATGAACAGTCTATAGAGACTAGATAGAAGGGAGACATGTAGCCTGCAAGGTAATCTGAAGATGGAATTCTATCCAAAAGAAGTGACTCATAAATCACCAAGAAGATCCTCTCTCTTTAGAGAGGCAACAGATGAGAAAGGAAGTACAGAGGTGTCAGAAGAAGAGAAAGCGAAAACCTGAGCTCTAATCATGGCAAAGCAGATACAGTACAAAGTGACTGACAGCCAATTCTGAGGGAAGAACAAGCTGGCTAGGCTTCCAGACTTCCTGCTAAGCTGCCAGAACCATGCTTATGATGAACAATGTTAGAGTTCTTCATGACACCCTTTTATTTACCTATCAAGGCATGTTCCTACTATCCTGTGTGAATTTAATCATCATCAGAGAGAACCTTAAGACAAACTTGAACTTTACCTCAATCCTGTACCCCTGGAAAACAGGAACATTCAAGAAATTGACCTCCCCCCCACCTCTTCCTCATGTAACTTAGATAAAACTCATGGACAACCCCTTGTAACCTATGACAAAACCAAGGCATAGCCAGTGATGGCGAACCTATGACACGCGTGTCAGAGGTGACATGCAAACTCATTTTTTTGGTTGATTTTTCTTTGTTAAATGGCATTTAAATATATAAAATAAATATCAAAAATATAAGTCTTTGTTTTACTATGGTTGCAAATATCAACAAATTTCTATATGTGACACGGCACCAGAGTTAAGGTTTTTCAAAATGCTGACACTCTGAGCTCAAAAGTTTCGCCATCACTGGCATAGACCCTACAAATTTCCATTCTTTAATGATTAGCTGAACTATTTGTCCTCATCAACCATTCTGGTTGGTCAATGCCTGGACTTGATCAAATTTTAGTCAAGTTTAGTCCTTCTTCCAAGCCTCTGAGTTTTGACCCATTCTTGAAAATGGATGGTTAACAGCCCCTCCTTGATGACCCCTCTCAAGAATCAGTTGACCTCAGGGAAAAATATTCCCTGATCCACTGTCTGATCATGCCACTCATTCACCCCCTTGCTCCACACCCAATTCTTTTTAGCCTATTCATTCTTCTCTGAAAAAAAAAAGCCCTATTTTGCTTGATCTTTGAGGTGTTTATAGATCTCATAGTTGAAGTGGTTCTTCCTATTGCAATACTCACCCTTCTCTTTTTGCAATAGTCCTCTTCTCTTATTGAAATCATCTTTTTAAATACAGCCAACATTTAATTTTAAGGAATCACAACTATTACATATTTCTTGATATATAGCCACATAGTAAAATACATAGGAGATCCAGACCACCATATACTAGTATAACACTGTTATTTTTCAGTGTTCAAACAAGAAAATGACTTAGATAATTGATTATTAAAATAGTTAAAATAAATAATTCATAGCTAATATGAAAAGTTGAAACCAAATAACTGAGGTTTGGAAATCACAGAAAAAACTTCTTTACATTTTATTTTTGTATAGTATAATTCAATCATCTCTTTATAACCTATTCTTTTTTTAAAAAAAAATAAAGCTTAGGAAACTTGTTTTTATGTTGGCCAATTGTTACCTCAAGCATAAAACCAGCAGTAATACAGCTGCTAAATTTCTTTCCAAAGAATTTTCTGTAAAATCTGTCACCTTTCCATTGTTCCAGTATCCTCTTCTCTACTATTTAGAGTCAGCACATTAACTGTGGCACATACACAAAAATAAATCCTGAAGCAGAAAAATACATATGACATTTCTATACCAGGAATGATATCTTTTTCTATAATACTAATATTCCAGTTTATAAAAATATATTTTAAATAAGAAATACTTGTATAACAAATACATCAAAGAAAAATCAACTACTCACCCGCATTGACTATAGCATCTACCTCTAGCAATGTGATGTCACCTCTATAGAGAGAAACTTTTTCACTCAAATTTTTCTTCACCTGTGACGTTTCCTGAGTATTTTCTTCTGTAATAAAAAAGAAATATATATATTAATAGTAATATTCTTAATCAATTTAATAAATATAATTTTGATACAAAAGCCAATATGAGTCACACTCTAATATATTAGACAAGTGGAAATAAATGTGTAAGTTATCTGGGGTGTGCTTTATTTTCCACATATTGTGTATTCCTAAATACAAATGCAGTATCATGTATATAAGAAGCACTCAATACATGTAGGCATGTTATATTGGTCAACCAAAAATAAATGTTTATCATTGTTATTAAAATGTCAATTTTGAAATAAAATTATGTAGCACCAGTTTCACAAGGAGATAAGAAAAATATGCACAAATACCAAGACAAAACAAATTTTCACAATGAATGAGCTTATTTCTACTTTGTTCAGTTACCTAAAAGACATTATTGAAAATAATATTTACTCAGAAAAAAACATTTAGATTCAGCTCTTTGCTACTCCTAACTAACAAGCTATCCCTTAGAATGAAATGGATTAAGTATATTTGAATGTGTAAAACTACTCATTTCTTAAATTATATGAACCTTTGACTCTAGAAGACACTGCTAGATTTAAAAGAGAAATAGCTCTGTCCTACACACAACAGCCAGCAAGGTAGTATAATTAAAAGTAAAAAATTACATTCTAAAACTGACATTTTAAAATGTTTTAGAGAAATAATATAGCCTGCATTTTCTTTTAAACAAATAGTAATATTAAGACATTAAACAAAGCTATATGAAATTAAAATACAATAAAATGTTATGCTTTTTAAGATATCTCTCTAAAAACTGATTTATGGACTCCAATTTTTTAAAATATTCATGATTTGTGCAAATCTTTCAATGGGGATGATAATGCTATTAATTCACTATGATTCTCTCAGATGAGCATACAATTTGAGGTATCTGAGTGATTAGAGGTGACAGGTTATGTCACTTGAATTGTCTTTGGGCCCCAATAACCAAAGTAAAAATTGTTTTCAATCAAGTATCAATATATTTATTATTGTTGTTGTTGTTACTATTCCCTATCAGTGAAAGAGATTGGACTTTTTGTGCTCTTACCCAGCTGCCAATGACTGGCCCAAAGACAAAGACTTTGAGCCAGAAGACCTTGAATTCCACATCCAATCAATTTCGATTCTTACTACTTTTACCGAATTAGAAAGACCTGTTTCCAATTAAAGATTGTTGAATGACAACAAATACTTGGTGGCTTTGACATAAATTTCTGGGTATTTGGACTATTTGAATCTAGACACTTAAAGACCTTTCAGTGAAGACAGGTTCGGAATTCCATCAGGCATTAAATTGAAAAGCATATCACAAATGAAAGTGAAAGGTTAATTGTTTAAACTTGGGTGAAAGAGTTAAGGATTCCTAATCCATCCTCCAGTTGCTTTTTTTAAGAGAGAGAGAGGAAGGGGAGGGAAGAAGAGACAGAGACAGAGAGAGAAATAGAAACATTGATTTGTTATTCTACTTTTTAATGCATTCATGGGGGAATTTTGTATGTGTCATTGGTGGGGAGCTCTCTGTGTCTCCATCTGCTGTTGCTGGAAGTGGGCTTCTTGGATGTCATGAGAAAAAGAATTTTCTGAGATTCATACAGGAGAAGAAAGTATTGTAAAAAGCTTTATTTCTTTGCAATCAAACCCCTTAGTTTCCAAGGTTCTATTTCACTCTGTCCCACCAAAGAAAAAGTCTCATTTTGCTTTCAGCAGAGCTAGGATTAAAGCCGTTGTCCAGAGTTTCCATTCCATGTCTTCACAGCCTAATCCAGCATCAGGCTAGCTTAGTTTGTGTTCCTAGCTATAGTCCATCAGTCCATTGCATGTGGGATCCACAGGACCAGATGGCTTTTGAGGGGAACATGGGCAGGAGCAAAGCCAGATGAACAGAGAGCCAAGAGCCAAGAGAGAGAGCTCCTTTGTCTGCGGGATTATATATTCCCAAATTTTGGGAGGCTTGCAATGGCCCCAGCCCCTCTGGCCAATGATTTCTGTCCCAGGTTAGACTAAGAGGCACCTTCCCTATATCACCCCAACTTTACTGAGCAAGTGTCCAACTTTCCCCTTCCCCAGTGATCTCCAGGGAATGGACTGGTGCTTCCCTAGGGAGTGTGAAATTGTAGCTTCCTGGTGAAGCTGCCCAGATGGCCATGTTTATAAAGTCTGGCCTCCCTTTTGTTCCTTTCCAATTATTAATAACTAGCTAATTACAATGGTATCACGCTGACTGGGGATCGAACCCGAGACCTTGGCCTATCAGGATGACATTCTAACCAACTGAGCTGCCTGGCCAGGGTTCCTAGTTGCATTTAGTTCTGAAAAGTATTTCTTCACTTTTTTCATGAAGCATATGTATGTAATATTGCATATAGAGTAATGTGACTTTTAATGTGACAATAAACCATGTATTTCTTTCTGCAAAATTTAAATAATGGTATTGGAAAGTATCGAAGTTTAAACCATTTGTACCACAGTCCAGTTTTCTTAAAAGAAATCCTAATTTCTCATCTGCAAACTTAAAAAAATGGAATATTTTGAGCCTAAATAAAGGTTCAAGCAGTTGAATATATTGAATAAATATACTGCTCTCGCAGGTCAGTCAAGTAAGTTATTCAAACTGATCTTATTAGAATGATCAGCAACATAAATATTTTTATCTCTCTCTCATGAGCATCTTTTTTCCTCCTATCCAGACTTATATTTGCTGCCCAATTCCTCACATGGTCTATCAAAAGGCAGAAATGTACTCAAAAACTACAATTAATAATATTAATATTAATTATCAGCATTTCCTGATCAACAATAAACCAAAACCAAATGGCATAGTTTTGACCACCAACTATTTTCTGTAACTACAACAATGTAAATTACCACTAGAGGCCACTTATTTTATTTGAACAGCAATGCACTTCTTTTTCACACAACTGTGTTCCATCAGCACTGATCCAATCTATATCCTGGGTTTTCATTAATACATAAGACAGAACACTGTCAAGTATCACTCCCTCATGGGTATTCTATATGTGCACAAAGCACCAATTCACATTTTGTATATTACTGGATTTATCTAACTGCAAGTTGAAATATCTGTCAGTGCGCACTTATGATAGTAATTGTTCTTCCGGATTGTATACTATTGATTATATTTTTTAAAAAAACCAGAGAGAGATAGAGAGTAAAATAGTAAAAACAACTTTTATTCAGAAATGGCTGCAATAGAAGAAAAGAGACCTCAGTATAGAACAGGGCTCAATAGCAAACACAGAAAGAACAAATGGGGTTTTATAGCCAAGGAACGAAGTGGGAATCAATGGAAGGAAAATTACTAAGAGGAAACACTGGGGATGGAGGGAAATTGTGGTTAAAAAGACTTATGGCTCTTACTACAGACAGGCCAGGGTGATCAGATATAACCTGGGGAATAGGGGCAGAGGTGTGGAATTTTAATTAGATATTGAGGGTGATTAGATATAAAGGGTAGGGAATTTTCTCTAAACTGATTAGGCAGGATTCTTGCTAAAACTGTGCTATGCAAATCTGGCAAGGATGGGGCCAAGTTGAGAAAAGAGCTTAGTGAAACCTCACTAAAGTTTAGTTAGAGAGTCTTTGTCAGTCTCTCCTCTCATTCAAGGAAAAAAGAGACATTCCCCTTTCCTTTGATCAATGTAAGTCCATTTTTCATTAGGTTGTCTTTTGTTCATTAAGGACCAACTGAACCAGCAATTGAGACTTGGCAGTAGATGATATTGGCTAGGGTGATGTGAGCAGTCATGCATTTAGTGAGGATAATGTCTATGAAAATAAAAAGAAAAATAAAGATTAATGGATGGAGCTGCCTTTATAAACCCAGTTTATGAGTCCAGAGGGCAGACAGTTGAGAAGATTTCTTCATGTTGGGCTAGAACCATATTTTGCAGTTTGAACGTTCTTGGTGACGGCATCAGGTGTTCCAGTGAATTTTCTGAAGGGCCCACACAACAGCAGGCATGAGGATCGACCACACATGATGTGTTGTGATGACTTCTTTGAGGTCTATATCAGGTCCTCCAGCTTCCGCTTGCAGGGCTTCAGGACAGGGGCAGTTTTAGTTCTCGGTGACGCCAAAGCAGAAGGAGGGAAGAAAAACTCAAAACATTTCAACAGTTGCAGCCAAATATTGGAGGAAACTAGACTTGACAAAATGTTCAAGACAATAAATAGGGCTTGAATTTGATAAGCCACAGAGGTACACATTAGTTTTCCACTGAAACATAAAAAGTGTCTCTAGAGTCACCTCCCCATTTTTATTCTTGTTCAAAAAATAAGTTGTCTCATTAAGTCTGGCCTGATTATTTACATAAGTGCAACAAGAATGGTAATTGACCACTCAGTTCCTTTGAGTTTGCTTTCCTGGAACTTTTAATAAAGAATCTCAGGTTAGACTTTTTAAAACTTCTCAAGACTAGGAAACCAAACTTCTCAAGACTAGGAAGCCAAGCCAAGAACTAGAGTCTGCAATACCTATAATTTGGGTGAATTCCTCTATCCTCACATTTCCAAAAATATCCTATAGTTCCTAGGCTTGCCAGAAAGTAACCTGCCTTACTTAGCCACAAGGCTGGGAACCCTGTAAACCAAGTACACGGCTGTTATTTCCAAAGGGGCTGTGTAAGCATTAGCTCTATAAAGTCAACCTTAGTTCCTCAAAACTCTCTGATAATATCTGATTCTGTACACCATTCTGAAGTATGACTTTCCAGTTAAAGCCTTGGTTACACAATTCTTTTTATGTTTGAATTTCTTTAAATTTTTATTGTTGGAAGTTTTACATATGTCCCCTTTTTCCTCCCATTGACCCCTTATAGTCCACCCCTGCCTCCCATCCCAGGCCTCCACCACTCTATTGTCTGTGTCAGTGGGTTATGCATATATACATACAAGTTCTTTGGTTGATCTCTTCCCATCCATCCACCCACCCCTCCCTTCCCTCTGAGATTTGACAGTCTGATCC